TTGGCTTTAGATCCATTGACTTTGCAAATCAGGGGCCTCATACTTATTTCACCTCGTTTCCAAATCTGGTTCATGATGCTAATCTTAGTTTTCTTAGCATTAATTCACTACTGTTTGAGATTGTCAACAAAATGTAGGGTAAAATTATTAACCTAATTTTTTTTTTTACAAGAATGGCTCTGCTTCTCAATAACCCACATGCCACTCTTAGCAAACAGACATCTCTCCCACTTAGGCCGTACTGTTGACTTAAGTCATTGCAAAATTACCTTTACACTCACGAATGGCTCACAGCTCAATGATACTAGGTTGGCAAACCAATTTACTGAACTACTGCCAATTGACCTAGATACACACAGGGAGTATGCATTGAATTTGGATTGTGCCTCACTTTGGATAAAGTTGATTTTATAGCTCAATACAATTCTTCTTACAGTAAATATACAATCACTAATATTAAAGCAGTTAAGTAGATTATTCATTCTTTGTTGAACACACTTTACCTTTAAGAGGGTACTTTTATGTTGGGGGGAGAAAATGGCCTAGTGGTATTATCACTGGACTATTAATCCAGGGACAGAAACAAAGTTGCTGGAAAAGCTCAGCAGGTCTGGCAGCATCTGTGAAGGAAAAAAACAGAGCTAATGTTTCGGGTCCGGTGACCCTTCCTCAGAACTGTTAATGGTTTTTTCCTTCACAGATGCTGCCAGACCTGCTGAGCTTTTCCAGCAACTTTGTTTTTGTTCCTGATTTACAGCATCTGCAGTTCTTTCGGTTTTTATTAATCCACGGACCCAGATAACATTCTGGGAACCCGTGTTCAAATCCTGCCCTGGCAGATGGTGGAATTTGAATTCAATAAATATCTGGAATTAAGAATCAAACAATGACCATGAATCTATTGTCAATTTTCAGGAAAAATCCATCTGGTTCACTAATGTCCTTTAGGGAAGGAAACTGCCATCCTCACCTGGTCTGGCCTACATGTGACTCCAGACCCACAGCAATGTGGTTGACTCTTAACTGCCCTCTGGGTTATTAGGGAAGGGCAATAAATGCTGCCTAGCCAGTGACACCTTCATCCTGTGTATGAATAAAAGGGAAAAAAAACATCCATTTACATTCTCTTTCTTTTTCCCAGTCACTTACTTCAGTACAAGGAAATTAATTTTGCTATACCTGTCCATCCATTGGTTTACTGTTGGGAATATGAAATAACAAGCCTGAGTGTTGACAAATCATGAATTTTCTATGTTTTTCATTTCTGCCTTTTTTCATTTCTGTAGACGTTTAGAGAAGAGGCTCAAGAGCAAAAGATTGATAAGTACATATTTAACCGTCAGTTTGTTTTCTACTGTACAGCCTTTGATGCAGCTTAATTTATGTTTTCCCTTCACATGGTGTTTTCAGTTTGTTCATAAGCAGGAGTTTTTAAAAGACTGCCTATAACAAACATTCCTAGATTTGGCACAACTCAGTTGTCTACTCTCTTATTTTAACATAACCTCATGGAATAATCCTTCACGAGTGTAGCAATGCACTCTGTTACAACATAAAAGCTTAAAATGACTTGTCAACATGGCTGGTAACCCAGTGATGTCAAAGGTTTTATCTGTGAAGACAAACAATTCACTTCCATATCTGCTGATATTTCTGGTCCTTCCCTTGATTGTGTCACTAGTATGTCCTGCTCACAGATGCTAGGAATTGCTGCTACACATTTTAGAAGTTATTTATGACAAAACTAGGAAATGTTTATCCACAGTGTGCTACAGTATTACTTTCTTTCTGTCATGGTAGATATGGGGAATAAAAGCCAAGTGTCCTGTTAGAAAATGATCCAAACTTGTTTTAATTCACAGGAGCAGGAGATTAGATCTGAAGGTTCAAGACTTAAGCTTACACTTCAAGATAAATAATCTAAAGGGTGGAAAGAATAAAAGAAAACAAGTCAGGTCCATGAAATGCTCATAGCACTTCCTGTCTGATTTTCTATTCATTAATTAAAGTGTCTTCAAAAGCAAATAGGGTATTGTGTACTTTTATTTGTTTATATGGTTGCATGGCAACTTATTTCAGTTTAAGAAACATATAATTAAAGTTCCTCTCTCACAGTCATGTTTCAAATGTATTTGTCAGCCTCCTGCCTGCATTTAAATTACTGTTGATGATCTGGATTCTGTTAACACTACAGGGATGATTTTCTGGTCGTGCCTATCAGAAAGTCACAAACATTTCACGATTTTCCATCCAATGATTTTAACGGTTATAAAATTGAAGGCAGGGTGGCCACAAATTCCTGAAGCTTAGAAAGTGGATCATTAACTATTCTTGCTGTAATTTCAAAATATAATCAAGTGGTGATGTTTACCATAAATGTACTTAAATTAACATGTATTAGTCATTAATTCCTATCCCAACTCAATCATTGGTAAATGTAGCAAGTAAATATTAAATTGTTTAATGTTTAGTCTGTGTTCTCTGATGATTCTGCTCTAGACAGATCTAGTTTAGTTGATAATCACCATCATTTAGACTGGTATATGAAGGATAGTCTGAGGAAATTGAATTAGACGTCATTCATGCCCCTGAACACAAATAGTGAATTCAAATTCAAACCTAATTTTGTAACAATTTTACATTGGTGAAAGGAACTCATATAGCATACTTCCAAAATTTCAGGAAGCCAACTGAAATTTTGGGACGCTTTATTTATTGCGACTTGTAAAGTATGGGACTCAACATAGGCAAATTTTGAATTGAAAAGGAAGTATTAAAAGGAACGTGTTTTTATTTAATTTGCATGCAAGCAAAAGAGGCAGCATTGTTTCACAATTATATTGAATTTGTTTCATAAAATAAAGCCTGTAAAGTGATCTGTGAAAAAATAGTCTGGAACTTCTGGTTTCATATAGTTTCTTCTGATAATGACAAACTGGAGTTGTTTTTGTTAACTGAATGTCATGAGTTAAATAGAACAGAGAGTAAACTAGTTTCTATACAGGAAATTTTTTCAAACTATTGACCTTCAAATGAATTGCTTTATGATAGTAGCCCAGGGACAGAAGTTCATTCATTACACTGATTGTGAATGGTGAGGTTCATTAATACTTAGCTGCTTTACCTGTCTTTTTTTGTTTGACTTGAAAAATTGCAATAATAAACTGTGCAACAATAACTGTTCTTCATTTTTAGCAATTATGCAGAAAAGGTTCATAAACCATTACACTTTCATCTGGATTTTCATCAGACTTATGTTACATCAATATCCTTAAGTTATTAATCAGAGGAAAATGTACAGTCACAAAAACAAGTATCTGGATATTGACATTTGGCAATAAGGATAATAACGATAATGATAATAATAATAATGAGTTGCTCTTCCTCCACATAGCGTCACAATGTCAAAAGTATGTCCAACAATTCACATCTGATTTTTCCACAAAGGCATTTAAAGGGCTTGCGTATTATTTTAAAGCTTCTGCATTGGAGATTCACAAAACTTGACAAATTACGGAGATTCAAAGGGTTTCCAGTCAAATTAATATAAAATCAGAAACATCAGCTCAGTTCCTCAAAAACACAAATTTGAGAAGACTTTTTTTTAATTCATTCACAGATGAATGTGTCAATGACTAGGCCAGCATTTATTATGTATCCCTAATTGCCCAGAGGGCAGTTCAGTTGCAGGTCTGGAGTCACATGTAGGCCAGACCAGGTAAGGACATTAGTGAACCAGATGGGTTTTTCCAGAATTTGACACTAAATGCATGGTCATCATCTCCCTCCCAGACTGTGTACTTCCCTCCTTCCCTTCCGGAATGATAAAGAAACTGCCGATAAATATGTAAACAAATGGCTTTTATTTATAAATAGAAACATTATCCCGAGGTAGTCATGCGTGTCACATATCTTCCATTGTGTTTAGTTTTGATTTTTTTTGACAGTATTGATGTTAAAAGAAATTCCCTCAATTACACAAAACAGTGAAAAAGTGTGTCATTTTCTTTTGAACGGTCATGACTTTACTTACTGTTTCAGTAACAGTTGATAACACACAAAAATGATGGAAATGATGTGACACAATACAAATAAGGACTTTGAAACACTCCTTAACGAATAGTGATTCCAGGAAAGTGAACCAAGAGACCAAAAAATACAATACCAAATGTGCAGTTAAAAGTAGGTTTCAATGTAAAGGGCAAGATGTTGGAATAAGCAGAATATCCCCAAGTAATAATAGCCAAGCAGGTAATTGGTTGCAGGAACATTATTAGGTGAGATGCTATTATTGGTATGGACTTTTCAACATCCTACTTATTCCCATTCTTTGTGATGGGACTTCCTTTGTTGTGAATGTGAACTCAGGATCAAATGTCTCTACTCTGGGCTGCATCTGGTCAGAAGCTATGAAGGGTTGCTCTTGATCCGATGGTACAGTTGCTGCAGTCCCAGCCAGAAGTTGTTGTTGGACTACTGCAGAAACTGCCTCTGAAATTTAAACTGCTGTCACATGGTGATGTTGTGGAAATGGCTGATCCTGTGCTAAAAATGCCACAGATCCATCATCTTGCTCTGGTGCATGGCGACCTTCCACTACAGCAATTTCATCATTATATATTGCGTCTCTGTTGAATCACAGACAAATCTAATGTGAGGAAAACAGTGTCCACACCATTGTCAGAGGCCCTCACATGGGTGCCTTCTCTCCTCCACTGTAGGTATAACATCACATTGCTGTAATGTACTCGCCTCTGTTTATCCATAACAGTTCATAGAATGCCTGAAGTGTAGAAGCAGGCCATTCAGCCCATCGAGTCCACACCGACCTCTGAAGAGCATCCCAACCAGACCCACCCCCTACCCAATCCCTCCATTTCCCACCCTAGACACTAGGGGCAAATTAGCATGGCCAATCCACCTAACCTGCACATCTTCGGACTGTGGGAGGAAATCAGAGCAACCCACGCAGACACGGGGAGAATGTGCAAACTCGACACAGACAGTCGCCCAAGGCTAGAATCGAACCCAGGTCTTTTGAGGCAGCAGTGCTAACCACTGAGCCACAATGCCATTTCTGGTGTGTCAGGATGTGAACACAATGGACGTTGATTGTCAGCCGACATCTCTGCAGTATCTGTTAGAGGACGAAATTAAAGCACGCTAAATTTTCATCACAAAGCAAGCCCAATACAATGGAGCAAGTATTACTCAACTTACTGCCTCACTTCTGATGCCAATGTCTGAAGGTCAATGGTCACAGTGGGATTCTCCAGGCCAAGCTTGCACTGCACATGCTCCTCTTGTTCGACATAGGTTGTTCTCTCATCAGTCAAAGAACTTTCACAAGCAATATTTGCAACCTTCCCCTAAAGGAAGACATAGAGTGCAAATTTATGAATTCTTCACTAATTTGAAAGAAATGCAATTGAAGTGAAATCCTCTGACTATAAAAGGAATTATGCCACTGTCCGAGACAGCTCAAGACTCTTGTGTATTTTATGATGTCTTATAAAATCAGTTAGCAATACTGACCTTTCAGAATTCAGCAATCTTCAGTTGAAGTAACAATTATGTCCAGGACCACTGAATTTTATAAAATCTCACAAAATCCATGTCATTCACTTTTTCAAAAAGACTCTTATCAAAGTCAACAAATGATACCTATGTGACTCTGACAAACTATCTACACTTAATACTTCGCAACCTGTTTGTTGCCTTTAGCAAATCGACCACATCATCATCTTCCAATGTCTCTCTACTATTGTCAGTTGGGGTGCAACTGTTATTGTCTGATCCAAACTTATCTATCTAATCAATACTATAAAATCATCTGCAACGGCCTCTCTTCCCACTCCCACATCTTGTTACACCTATAAACAAAAGTAAAAAAAAAATCCATTCCATATAAAGCAGAATAAATTAATCCACTGAAATGAAATCTTAACATGCTAGTAGAAAGGATTAACTTCTCTACCTGTTTCACCAAAGGATGGAGCAAAGCAATCTCCAATTTATGCACTTGCATCATTCTATGTATTTTTAAAAATCTTTCCTTACTAATAGAGAAAAAAGACTATTTCAAACTCTGCACTCTTTCAGCACAGAATTGCGCAGCATTTTAGATGAATGTTAATTTTCTCCGAACATTTTGTTCCATTTTTTTCTCAAACCAATCTGTTATTTTTGTGAATTTTAACATGATGAGTCCACTGTATCAGGCTCACATCATTTGTTTACATTTTTAAATTTGAGTACTGCTAATTGGAACATTATCTTCCTTTTTAAGAATTGTATGAGACCTGCAGTTGTGGCCGAGTGGTGAAGGCGATGGATTTGAAATCCATGGGGGTTCCCCCCGCACAGGTTCAAATCCTGCTGGCTACTTTTCTAGGGCAGCACAGTGCCTCAGTGGTTAGCACTGCTGCCTCACAGCACCAGGGACCCGGGTTTGATTCCACCCTTGGGCGACTGTCTGTGTGAAGTTTGCACATTCTCCTCGTGTCTGCATGGGTTTCCTGCAGGTGCTTCTGTTTCCTCCCACAGTACAGGCTGTCCAAGATGTGCAGGCTAGGCAGATTGGCCATGCTAAATTGCACGTAGTGTTCAGGGATACGTAGCTTAGGTGGGTTATAGAGGGATGGGTCTAGGTGGGATGCTCCAAGGGTCGGTGTGGACTGGTTGGGCCAAAGGGCCTGTTTCCAGGCTGTAGGGATTGTATGAAAATCTTCAAACTTTGCAAGGTTTCTCATTCAAATTAATATAACTCAAGATTAATCGTAACACTCTAAACAGGAAAGAAAAATCAATCTAAATATGTCTGAACTTTGTATGGGAGTTAAAAATCTCCATGTTTCTCATATCCTGGAATCATTAACCAGGATTCCAGGACTCATTGTTTGAAAAATGTATGTTGTTTATTATCCTTCTCACAAGTTACTTTGTGACCATTTTTTCAAACTTCCAAAATGCAACAAGGTTAGTTTCCAAGAAGAACCTTAACTTGTTTAGCACAAAACAAAAGGAAGCCTGAAAGTTTCCACACACACTGAACATCTGCAACACCCATTCAATTTAACAACATTTATGCTTCAGTTTTCAAGAACTGTGACTTACAGGCATAAGAGGGTAGAAAAAGGTCTGTATGTTTTCATCGACAAACCTCGCATTGTCTCTACCTCGACTGTTGGATCTTATTACACTCTCATGCCAGATGGAGACTCCTAGAAATTCCATCCTCATCAAACAAAACATTTGCTTTTGAACAACTGAAACAAATATTTCATCATGAATTATGTTCAGGCCATTTTGTACAGAGATATTGTACAGACACCAACAGTTTTAAACTATACAAAACAAGATCACTCAGAGTTAATTAATCTCTATTGGCACCAACAAGGAGACAAAAAGAACAAGACAACCATAAAGTACAAACAGACAACTTGTACAAGTTATTTTATCAACAGCAATTGTGCTGACTTGTTACTTTTAGTTCAAAATGATTCACAGAAATTAGCAACCAACTCCAAATTCTCCTTTCTGCGACAACTTTACCTGTGGCTTCGTGGAAGTCAAAACAATATTTTTCTTTGAGATCAAATATACAAGCACTTGAAGTGTAATCTGCTTAAAGAGGGACTAGTCTCTTATCTCAGCAAATAGCAGGTTTTGCTCTATACAGGATGTCTTCAGTGTCTGAAGAGCTACAAATGATCCTGAACACTGTGCAATCAACTGTGAAATTCCCCACTTCTATCCTTATAATAGAGGGAAGGCCAGTACTGGGCCTTGGACATTAGCCTGAAGAAGTCCCGCAGCTTCGTCCTGGACTTGAAATGAATGGCCACAAACTTTGTGTTTGATATGTTCCAGCCAATGGAGAATTTCCATTGATTTCAATTTTACTAGGGTTTCTTGATGTCACACTCAAGTCAAAATCTATCGTAAAGTCCATTTTAACTAACATCTTGAATTGAGTTTCATTGTCCATTTTTGAAACAAAGCTGTAATGAACTCTGGTGCTAAATATCATTGAATAAGTTATTACTGACTAGGTGCTTTTTGATAGCCCAGCCAGCAACATTTTCCATCGTTTCACTTTACTTATATTTGAGGGTAAATTGATGAGGTTGTAATTGGCTAGGTTGGATTTGTCCTGCTTTTAGTGGGCAGTACATACTACCAATTTGAGACATTGATGCCAGTTTTGTAGCTGTTCTGGAATGGCTTTGTTAGGGCTGCAACTTAGTTTGAAGTACAAGTCTTCACTACTTCAGTTTGGATGTTGTCAGGACCCATAGCCTTTGCTGCATCCTGTGCCTTCAGTCATTTCTTTATATCACAGGGAAAGAATTGAATGTATGAAAACTGGAATCTATGTTGTTGAGGGTCTAATGACAAGACTGAGACAGATCATCCATTCCACACTTCTGGATGAATGTAGTTGCAAATTCTTCAATTTCATTTTTTTGCACTGACTAGCTGGCCTTCACCATCATTGAGGATGATAATATTTGGGGATCCTACTCCTCCCCTTAGTTATTTAACAGACCACAATTGGACTTGGGAGGACTGCAGAATTTTTATGTTATCCACTGTTTTGCGGGTCAGTAAGCTCTATCGACAGTCTGCTGCTGAGTATGATTGTAGCACAATATTACCAATTACTTTCTTCCAAATTATCAATTAGGTTGATGGAAGAAGCATCAGTTGTGCCATAAAACAATACCTACCCACCAATTGTATCAGAGATGCTGGAGAATCTGAGATAACAAGGTGTAGAGCTGGATGAA